TGTGGGGTTGATGAGTGTGTTTGTGTGTGTGTGTGCATCTAAGGCAAGCAATGGTTTTCAGGCAAAAGTTTTCTCATGGACCTTGTTATGGCAGCTGTGAAGGGCACCAAGATGAACCGAACACACACTGTGATTGTCAAGGATGTTGCACCCTATGATGCAGAGTTGGCTGTGACTTGTGCCAGTCTCAATGCAGTCACCCCCAGGTCCTGGCCTGATTTCGCCTATGTTGCTTCATCATGGGTTGGCAACCAGGGATTCAAGGAGCAGGTGGCAACCAACATTGAGTCAGTCATTGCAGAGCATGTCAAGGGTGCCATTGGACGTGGTGAGTACCCTTTGGCCAAGCTTCCAGATGGCATGATACAGGCCCCAGTCCCACAGTCGAGCAGTCCGACCCTGAACCTTTCAGAGTTCAAGTTGACTTTGCCATCCCCGAACAATGAGCTTCTGCTTCTGATCGACACAGTTGCCAGAGGGAAGCGTTGCAACAAAGTGACTCTGCCTGAGACAGAGGTATGGAAGGGACTGTCGTGGCCTGACATTCTGAAAAAGCACAATGATGAGTTCAACCCTTCAGGGACTATCCGTGCGAAGCGTGATGCAGATGTTTCTGTCCAGGAGTTTCTTAGATGGCATTCTGATTTGTCACATAGTTTTTCCTGGGGCTTAGTCTTTTTTGTAAACATTCAAAATAGATATGTTGATTTGTAGATCTCCAAGGTTGGACACCTCGAGCCGGGCATCATCGACACTGTCTTCAGTCCTACAGTCCATCAGTCCAGACATGGGCAGGTGCCAGCCGCCTGGCATCACAGCATATCAGTTTGCTGTGTCCAAGGATGGAAAGCTCTATGTCAAGGGCCTGACAGACTCGAACCTGGAGGGCCAAATGTTTGTGGTCCATGGCAGGTTCAAGCGAGGAGATGAAGCCAAATCTTTGCTGAGTGAAGGCTCTGATTCAATCATTGCCTACAGTCTCACAGCAGAGTCGGCAGTCTTGCTCAAGGCCAAGAATGGCAGCACATTGCCAGCAGCGCTCCAGAAGTATGCAGAGAAGCCGGCTGCCTTGGGGGGGATCCTCAATGCCATGTCAATGGCAGGATTGCCAAAAGTGGGGTTGTACCTCCACAGTTGTGAAAGTGAGACTACGGGGACAGATGTTGTGTGGACAGTCAAGGCCTTAGAACCGGCATGCCTCAAGTGTACAATTGAAGAGCCAGGCGAGGATAGCAGCAGTCCCTTCCCGCCGCAGGAGATCTCTTTTGCCAAGCTGTCCAGTTATGTGGTGCTGTCCCAGCTTACTCAGGTCCAGATTTGCTTTCTTTGCCCTTGAGTATGATGACCAGGCCAACAAGCTGAAGGGCATGTACCCCAGTGTTTGTATGAAAGATACAGTCAAGCTTCCAAAGGATGTCATTGCACTGATGTAGATGCAAGATCCAGACAGTCCTACAGTCCTACAGTCCTACAGTCACCAGTCATATGAATCATTATTGCTGATGGTCTGTTAGACTGTGGGCCTGTCTGCACACGTAGAGCTTGTAGGTGCAGCTGCAGTTGAGTCCCGACAAATAGTCGTTCCTCGACTGATTTTGCCAGCTCAGTTTTGTCAGCTCGGCTAACACAGCCAGACAGAGATGTGGCGCATCGGAGAAAACTGACTCTTGCACTGACTGTCAGTTGTAGCTGCACTGTCAGTGCCACAGTCTTGCAGCCCACTGAGCTGCAAGCTCATGTTTACTTTTAAAAGATTTAGGGTGTAGAGTTATTAGAATTTAAGGGTTGGGCCCTGGGGTTCTGGCTCTCGTCTGGTATCGTGGTCGTCGTCGTCGTGTCGTAAAGGACCCCTCTAGCGTTTTAGGGTTTAGGGTTTAGGGTTTAAAGAATTTGGAGACAAGGCTCTGTCGGCCTTTGGTTTGGAGAAGGCTCATTCAGGAGAGAGGGTTGCAACTACTCTAAAATCTCTAACCTAACCCTCAGGCCTACAGTCCTACAGTCCTAAAAAGCCTTTCAAGACAAGGCTGTGTCAGCCTCTTTATGAAGCTCCAAAACCCCTAAACCCTCAGTCCTACAGCCCTACAAACCCAAAAACCCAGACTTTCAAGACAAGGCCGTGTCGACCTCCTTTGTTTGATAAGGCTCCAAAAACCCTGAAAAAACCTGATTGCCCAGGTCTGCCTCGTGGAAGATGTCCAAGATGCTGGGCACCAGGGCACAGCGGCTGCTGCAGCGGCACCAGCAGCGCCGATGTAGAGGGGCAGAGTGGGCTTGGAAGGTATGTTTTAAAGAGGCTGGGTGTTCTGGACTTCATATGCAGTTCCACAGTCTCACTGTCGACAGTGTGGACAGTGGGACTGTGGACCTGCACCTGAAGAGACTACATTCTGGACTGGGGGCCTGCCTAACACTGACACCTTATAGGTGTAGAAACTTACCTGGCCCTGAATATATTCCTTCCAGCAGTTTTTTTGGCTTCTGACTTCAGACTATCCCACTGTCTCACAGTCCCTGGCGCAATGGACGGAGATGTACCTTTTGACAGCAAGGTACTCACATACTGTGAGAGGGTGTCCAAGAGACGCAGAGTTCTCAACAATCTCAAGCAGACCGACATGTATCACCTCGCCAAAGCGAATGTGGCCAAAATAGCTGCCGAAGAGAATGATGGCAACATGAACTCGAACAATATGAACTCGAACAACAAGAAGTCTGGACCTGGTCTCCCCAGTCCTCCGATGACACCACGAGATATTGAGGACATGTCAAAGAGAGATTGGGAGAAACAGTTTTTTGTCTTCAAGACCAGACTACGTGAGTATGCCCAGTGCATGCAGGACTGATTACTTCCTTCTGCAGTCTCACAGTCTGGCAGTCCCACAGTCTACAGTCCCAAGATTGAGAACAAGCTGTTGTGTGTTTTGTTTGTGTTGGTTTTGCACTGCCAGACTGACTGCTGAAGAGGAGGTTCACACTTGTGGGCCCAAGGACTTTGAACTGTATTTGGGACCCATGTACAATAGCCACATGCACACAGACTGACTGTCTTGTGCAGTGTGCATGGAGTACAGTCAGTCTTGCAGTCCTCTACAGTCCTAGAGAATCAATATGTTGAACCAGACTTTTCAACTGCAAGACTGAAAAACTCCACTGCAATGACTACAAGTCTCATGAGACAAGACCTCAAAAGTATGACGGTTGTGGTCTGTGTATGTTGCAAGGAGTCTTCGGGCAGTGCAGTCTCACAGTCTCACAGTCCATCAACTACCACAAAGTAGCAGACTGGGTAGCCTGTATCATGATAGTTGGACTGCAAGACTGGTAGACTGCACATGGACCTGTACATATTGTACTGTTTCTGCTGTTTTCTGCTCATAGCACACTAGCTTATCTCCCGGTCCTCAGTTCCACTGCTATTCAGTGCCATGGAGACAGATTCTCAAGAGGAGGGGGTATCTGACAAAATGGCAACACGACTGGCAAAGCGCATACGACTGGTTGAGCAGTTTCAGGCCACAGACGTGTACTTTCGCTCCAAGGTGCTCCTCATGCACTGTGACTCACAGTCGACTCCACCAGGGGACCCACCAGTGACACCGAGGATGGAGTTTTCAAAGAGAAGGTGGGAAAAGATGTGGTATGTCTACAAAACCAGGTCCCGCCTCTATGCAGAGTGGCTGAACTAATTCAGTCTGGCAGGCCTTCAGTCTTACAGTCCACAGTCCTGCATTCCTACAGTCCCACAATCCTACAGCAACAACAGTTTGTGAACTGTGGACTACATGACTGGCTGAAGACTGTTGTTCGAAATTATTTTGCACTGACAGACAACAACCAGGGAAGCCTGATGTGATGAAAAGACCTCTTTTAACAAACAGTCTCACAGTCCTACAGGCCTTGGGGTTCCAGGTTCCTCGTGTCGTCAGTGTAGCCGTCGTTTTCGTCGTCGTCGTCGTGTCGTAAAGGCCCCCCTCTCGTGTAGGCTGGTAATAATGTAACAAACAGTCACACAGTCCTACAGGCCTTGGGGTTCCAGGTTCCTCGTACAGTCACACAGTCCTACAGGCCTTGGGGTTCCAGGTTCCTCGTACAGTCACACAGTCCTACAGTCCTACAGCCTTGGGGTTCCAGGTTCCTCGTACAGTCACACAGTCCTACAGTCCTACAGCCTTGGGGTTCCAGGTTCCTCGTGTCGTCAGTGTAGCCGTCGTTTTCGTCGTCGTCGTCGTGTCGTAAGGCCCCCTCTCGTGTAGGCTCGTAATAATGTAATGTAACAAACAGTCACACAGTCCTACAGGCCTTGTAGTGGGAGATATAGGCCTTGAAGTTCTCAAAGAAAAAACAAGGGATGTTGGTTCCAAAGGCTGGAAGGAATAGCTCATAATCTCTCCAAGTCGGTATCCTAGTTACCCTGGCCTGATATCCTAGTTGTCTTGCCGACTCCTTATATATATATAATATTTCTGAGTCGAGACAGTATCCGTCCAAGAACTCAGGCTCGAGCCTTAAGGGGTTCCTTGCCATCGTGGGTCGATTCCTGTGCCTGCAAAGTACACAACTCGGGCACACGCAGTAGCGCTGAGTAAATCGAGATCGGCCTCATCCCACCACGAATCTTCCCAGTCCTGGTAAGACTCTGGAGTCTTTATATGAATTCAACGTTCCGTTAGCCCTACATATTATAAGGGTCCTCGGACTTGCGAGATCCAGGCTCATCTTTTGCCCAGCCGGACGATTGGTCCTGCAGAGAAGAATACATATATCAGATATCAGGTCGCAACGGAAACGAATCCCACCTCGGTGAACTCGTGGTCGTGGCCCACCCACTGCTCCTATGAAGTGCTACCACAGACTCAGGCAATCGAGATTCCAACGATACAATAGTATGTAAGCCTGTCCTTCCAAACTTGTCCATCCCCAGCATGATGATCGGGATCAGGTACCGAGGGGGCCTAGACAAGCAATTTGGAACTAAATAACAGATTGCTAGAGCACGGCGTTCACCCATCCTCAAGAAAATCAGATATCAAGAGAAATGCCTGCTTGTCGTTGGCCCAATCATGGGCCCCAACTTCGGTCGAGGCATCGTCATAATCGCCTGCTGCGCCAGTCGTGGCCCACTCCATTGTGCTAGAGCCGGCATCGGTCAAGGCATCGGTGGTGGAGATATCGGCCCAGGCATCCTTGGCAGGACCAGTATCCCAGTGTTCGGTCTTGCTCCACCCATAGGTCTGGTCGTCTTTGGTCGAATCATCGGCCCAATCATTCTCGGTCCATCCATAGGTCTTGTTGTCTTTGGCCGAATCATCGGCCCAATCATTCTCTGTCCATCCATCGACTTTGATGACTCTGGCAGAATCATCAGCCCAATTATCGGCCTCGCTCCATCCATAGGCCTTGCCATCAAAAGTCGAATCGTTGACCCAAGCATCGGTCTTGCTCCATCCATAGGTCTTGTCGTCTTCGGTCGAATCGTCGACCCAAGCATAGGTCTTGCTCCATCCATAGGTCTTGTCGTCTTGGGTCCAATCATCGACCGGACCATCGACCCAAGCATTCTGGGTCCATCCATATGTCTTGTTGTCGTTGATCCAATCATCGGTCGGATCGTGGATCCAATCAATCTTCTTGATGTTGGCGGAATCGTCGTCCCAATCATTGGTCCAGCGATCGGGCTTGCGGTCGTAGGTCCAATCATCGTCCGCCCAAGCACCTTTGGCCGAATCATCGGCCCATTCATCTTTCTTCTCCCAGGCATCCGAATCCGCGGGATTCGTGCTGGAGCCTGGATCCTCCGGCGGCTCTCCCTCGCCATCCCAATCCAAGCAAGCCTTCAACCAAGCTGCATCCTTCTCAGGATCTGGCGAAGCTCGAAATTCATCTAGCCAAAATTCCAAGTGATCACGTGGTCGCCCGCGCAGCACATCCCGGATATCGGGATTCTTGTCTAAGAAACCATTCAAGACCGCCGTCATCTGTTCCGTATCTATCTCAGATTCGTCGTCATCGACATCCTGAGTTCCGAAAATTCCAAGAGCTATTAAATGAGATCTTGCGCCATCCGGGCCGCAGACCTCGTCCTCACTCTGTGCTGGGCTCGCTGGCTCTTCAGCCTGAGGAAATCCCGAATTCTTCAGACCGTAGAACCCGGAATATATTAAGTTCCCAACCTCCATCGCGGATTTTCGAGCCAGCCTGGGCCCAGCCATACTTGATAATCGTACGTCTAAACAGCACTCGGCGCACCAACCTCGGCGGGGTCTCTTTGTCGAACTCCTCGAGCATGGCCTCGTCAACATCGGGGCAACATTATATGGTTTCTCTTAATTTTTATCTTATACGGTATCTCTCTATGTCTCTCACTCTATCCCTCTCTCCCTGCCATGACCCTCGCTACTATCTCAACCCTCTCTCGCTATCTCTATATATATATATATATATATTTATATGAATCGATCTCTCTCTCTCTCTCTCTCTCGCTGTCGTTCTCACTCTCACACACTCTCACACCCTCACACCCTCACACCCTCACACCCTCACTCTCTCTCTCTCTCTCGCTGTCGTTCTCACTCTCACACACTCTCACACCGTCACACCCGGATCAGAATGAAATAACTCTTGTATGTGACTGTTCGCATCTCCCCGTTCTGCCTTCCATTGTTGTTTCGTTGTTTCTCTCTCTCTCTCTCTCTCTGTCTCTCTGTCTCTCTGTCTCTCTGTCTCTCTCTGTCTCTCTCTCTATCTGTTAACACACTCTGAATGAATACCGTGAAAGCCGTTCGGAGCAATGGAATCTTGAGGCCACGACAGTCACATCGTTCTCCTGTAGGAAGAAAATGTATGTGTGAATGATAACATTTATGACAGATGAGTGAATGGTGCAACTGCCTCCTCTGCTGCGTCGCTGGCTGGGGCATCCTGATGGGATTTGCTTGGGTTTAAGGTGATCTATATACTAGCATTACCATAATAATCGAACCCCGGCCTCGAGATCGAGCATTACCTGAGTCTCCTCGTTCTCGGTCATGGCCAGTGAAACTTCCCGTGCTTGCGAGTTCTTCTTAGCCCTGTAGCACATATGCACGTTTCGATCTGCTTGACGTTTTTTCCAAGACGCCACAGTAACCCCAGGGATGATAGGAAATTGCAGATGGTATTTTCTAATCAGTACCTCGATAGCTTGCCTTGCCACTATGACGGTAACCAAGACGAGCCCTCTGCCCACTTCAAGCTCTCTCGCAAACTCCGGGATCTCAAGGTGCCGTGAGGGATAATATCCCCTGTGATGGCTATCCGCTGGCCGCTGTCCCCGGCAACAAAGGAATCCCAGAGTTTCTTGGCCAACAAGAAGGCTCGCGCTTTCAGGTGAGACCGAACGACGTGAGGCATTATCAGATCCGACCTGCGGCAAATCAAAACTAGCAACCATATCAATATGGGCCGGCTGCACCTGGCAAGTCTCGATCGGAGTAGCCCCCCTCGGCGGCGACCGGGATCGGCCAGGGGTACACGGAGCCTGGCACAACTAATAATTACGATCATAGGGTTGCAAGAGGATGAACTACCATTCGATCATGCCGGCAGTACGCTCGGCCGTCCAGAGGTCGAAGCCTCATGAAGCTTCAGCAAGTCTTGTAGATATACTCCGGTAGGAGCTATCTATGTGTGTATATATGTATATATACACTGTGCGTATATAGATCTAGATAAATTGAAATGAGCAGCCATCGTCCATCACTTGGCCAGCTTGGAGGCCTTCAAGACAGTCCTGTGGATAAATAGCGCCAAGTATATTGGATCTATACCGGATGCTCAGGAATTCAACAATCAGATCTGTCCTCCTCCACTTCAGAGCCGCTCGGTGCAAGCTGCAAAGTGCGTACATGAGCATCAGCGCATGTCCCGACACTACGGAAGCTTTTAGCTTCCTGCTTGACCTTCGCCCCTCGATGAGGCCAGTTAGACCTACCGGACCGACTCATTGTCGGGGGCACCTCGCACAGCCTTCCAAGCTTGAGCACACTCAACGTTCGGATCACGCATCATCAGCTCGATCAGGCTACGTACGGTCTGCAGAGCGAGCAAATGAGACAAACCTGGCTGGCAAGTCAGATCATTTGCAGCAGCTTCGATTTCATCGATCATTAATGGGGGAATATGACCATGGAAGTCACCGATGACAGTGATCGAAACAACATGTATGTGTATATATATATATATATATATGGAAGTGTATGTTGTTGTGCATATCACACTCACATATACGGAAACCTATCATGAGTACAATTATGAACTGTATATGTATGTATATGTATATATAAATCTAAGTGCGCGTGTATATATAGATATATATATATATATATATGTGCATGTCTACATGAATAGTTTTTTGGTTTACATACATTATAAGGCATTGAATGCACACACACACACACACACACACCGCGTGCATGGTTAAAACATGAATACTGCAATTCGAAAAATTGATTGTACTGGTGCTGAGCATGTGCGCGCGCGGTTCGTGGCGGCCGGTACGTGTTAAAGCAAAGATATGAAACTGTATTTAAAATTAAGTACTTACTGCACTGTATTTAATATTAAGTACTTACTGCACGTAATATACGCGACACATGAGGCTTGCCTCTACTAGCTTTATTTTCCTAGGAGAGTTTTGAAAATTACTGTGAAGTTGTCAAAACGCCTTTGCTTTATTTTGAACCACATTTCATGGCATGAATGCATGCTTTGAATCGTCTGAGTTCATCTCTTTTATTTCCCGCGCCGCCTCGAGACAGGGGTGGGATGGGTGGGTAGCTGCTCCCTGGCCAAAGGGCCGGAAATTTTTGTAGAAGTGGGGAGTAGCGTTGGCCATGCTGGCTTGACAAGGCCGATTCTGCAGCCGGCATGTCGGGAGGTGACTCTCTTGAAAGTAGCCTCAAGAGGGCTCGTGTGCTTGGGGCTTATGAGAGTCACTGTGTGTCATCGACTCGTGTGGCATCCCGAGGGATTGGAAACGCAGTTAAGATGCCGTGGGAAGTAGCTTCTGCTTTTCTTGACATGCCTGCCTTGCCTTCACCTTACGCCAAAGGTGGGAGCATAGTGTCAATGCCTGTGGTGCCGGCCGTCCCTGCAGGGCCGGTTAAGTCGTCTTCAGGAAAGCTTGAATCACTCAGGCTTGCAGGAGTGAGGGTCCCGAGTGCGCCGGGGCAGAGCTGGGATCAAAAACTCTCCGAAGCAAGGGAGGCGGCTTTGGCAAAGTGGCTTGGGATTCTTGAGAGGTTCCCCGAGGATTTTGGTTTGACTTTGTCGATTCGGTTAGACCGGGAAAATGGGCGAGGTGCCGACTTGAAGACCTCATTGCAAGATGTGTTTTCTCAGAAGGCGAGCGTCACAATCTCAGGTCGTGCCGGGCCTCTAGCCAGGTACGTCAAGCATTGCCGAGGTCGCCAGGTCAATCCTTTCCCTGTCACTGAAGCCGGGGTCTATGCTTTCCTTCAAGACTATGCATCACACGAGGCGCCCACTTTCGCAAGGAGCTTCTTGAGCAGCCTCGCTTTTGCAAAGTTCACTGTGAGCTTGAAGGTGAGTGATGAAGTCTTTAGCCCCAGGGTCCGTGGGCTGTCGTCGAAGCTATATCTTGACAAGAGAAAGACTCGACAGAAGCCAGCTCTTAAAGTTGATCATGTGCGCAAGTTGGAAGCCATTGCATCTGGTTCGATCGATCTTGAACCCGCAGATCGGGTCGCTGCCGGCTTCTTTGTTTGGACCCTTTACGCCCGAGCGAGGTACTCAGATGCCCAGGCTGCAGGTGCAATGACTTGCGACTTGAGTGATACCCCAGATGGCGTTGTGGGATACCTTGAGGCTGCTGTTGAGCGAAGCAAAACTTCGTTCTCACTGGAAAGAAAGGTCAGGTATTTGCACATGTTCGCTCCCATCCAGGGAATAGGCGAGGTGCCCTGGGGTGTTAAGTGGTTTGAGTTCTATAAAGTGCATGGACCTCCTTTGGGGACGGGTAAGCCCTTGCTTCCGAGTCCGCTCTCTGGAGGAGGGTGGCAAACGGCGCCGTTGGCGGTGGCAAGTGCCACGAAATGGATGAAGTCACTCTTGATCCGTGCAGGATGCGACAGGTCTTCCGTTGAACCGCTTGGGACGCACAGTCTCAAGGCGACGACCTTGAGTTGGAGCGCCAAATTCGGATTAGCCCGCGAGGTGAGGGCGGCCCTTGGTTATCACGCCAGGGGCCGTGATGGAACCGAGATCATCTATGGGAGAGACAACATGTCTGCTCCTGTGCGCCGGCTGCAAGATCGAGGTCCTGCTCGAAGTGTCACGCGAAAGGTTCATGCCGGATGCCACCAGGTCCAGTTACTTCGTGAAGCGCTTTGAAGATCCGGAGGGGATGCCCATTCCTCCTGACGAGGTTCTGTCGGATTCTTCTTCCGAGGCTAGCGAGGATGCCGAGGATGTCGATCATGAAGCTGCGGAGGCCGCCGCCGATGAGTTGGGGAGGCAATGGGAGCCCGATGCAGGCTTGCGGGCCGAGCTTGAGGCAGTCCCTTTGTTCAGGAATAAAGACAGCCGTTTCATTCATGCAGTCGCGTCCGAGGAAGGCGACAAGTTCAGATGTGGCAGGAGCATCTCGACCAGGTATGTAAGGCTGTCTTCCGTCCCGCGAATTTTGTTTCCGTTGTGTAGGAGCTGCTGTCCACCTAAGAAGTGAGGCCGAGGAGATGCTGTAGAAAAGAAGGGTGATTTCTGAGTGTCTGAAGCGTGATTCCTGAGCTGAGTGATGCGATAGCTTGAGTGAATGCGAGGGTCGTGAGTGATGTGCACGAGAACAAGTCATCGTTGTTCCGAGGAGTCGGCTCAGTCTTTTAGAGTCTGCGCTAACACTGGTCGGCCGGAGCCTAGCTCACGAATCGCATTGTGTATGCATTAGAACATGCTGACATACTTCATGTGACTTTTAAGCGGATTGCTAGCCGGGTCCTTCTCCTGAAGATGGCGAACTATTCTGAGAGCCAGTCGGTTCTGCAGTCACGATTGAGCGTCGTGGGTTTCGCGGAAGGAGATGTCTTGAAGATTCTGCCTGAGGTGGGAAACTTGAGGAGGCTGGCTTTCATTTCTTCTTTCACCCCTGGCCAGACAGACGAGGAGCCTTTGATGCGGGTGTTGAAGGATACCCTGAAACGAGATCTGACAATCGCAGACAAGGCCAATTGGCGTGCGGTGTACAATGAGGCTTATGCCATTGTGACCGCAGAAATGAAGCAGCGGATCGAGAAGGCCGATCCCGAGTCGACTGTCAGGCCATTGTCGCAGCCTGAGAGGTCTAAGCGTTACGAGCGGCAGGCAAAGAAGCTTGTCGGAATTTCGCTAAAGGGGCCTCTGGAGCCTGCCGATGCACTTGTCGACCTTGCTGTAGCCTCCTACGAGGCGAATGAGCTCAGGTACATTCCGTGGGACCGGTGTGTGTCAAAGGAAGCTGAATTGGCTGGCGAGAAGAAGCGAGATGTTAGGTTCACGGTCGAAGAGTCCTCTGGCAAGCTTCGGATTGAGCATAAGCAGCCTGACTTGGTTGCGGATACTTCATCAGAGATTCTTGTTCAGCAGGCCCTCACGAGGAGGTCTCTGGCTATGGACCAGGCAAACCTGATCGATTTCAGTTTCAGTGTCTCCGACCAATGGACTCAGCGCTTGATGAAGGCTCGCATGCAGACGCCTGCGGAGCATTTTGTCAGGCCCACTTGGAAGCAGCCTGAGTCGGCGGATCGGCAGCTGTTTGCCGAGCTTCGTGATAAGACCAGGGCAGGAGTGCAGACCGTCGCATCGGGTCGCCCGTTGGACACACTTCTGCCGGATGCGATGTACATGAACGAGGTGTCATGCTTATTGCAACCTTTTCCGGCCCCTGTCCTAAAGGATGTTCCCCAGAAGCCGGATGCTCCCAAGTGGGAGAGGCCATCTCCTTACACCAAAGGTGGGGGCAAAGGAAAGAAAGGTAAGCAGAGGTTCATGACAAGGTTGCCCGCCGGCTTGGAAGGCTGCAGGTCCCACACTAATCGTGGGGATCCAATCTGCTTTGCCTTCAACCTGGTAGGCTGCTCGACGAAGGGGCAGAAGTGCGAGAAGGGCTTGCACATTTGTGCAGTGCCTAAGTGCGGTGCTCATAACCATGGTGCAGCGCAGTGCCCAAAGCGGGCTCAGGGTGGCTCGTGACTAGCTGGTCTCGAGGGTGCTTCGCCGACGGCCGGTGCTCCAGAGAGTGTGCATCAGCCGGCAGCGAGGACCGCACAGGTGGATGATCTTCGAGAGGGAGTTCATCGGCCGAGCAATGCATGCGCGGGCGGCTCTCCTTCGAGTGGAGTGGATTGTCGTCCGCAATCAGGTGTTGATCGAGAGGATCATCACGTGCACAACGTTGGCTCTCACAGTGCCATCGCCAGGCCATCACCAGGTGTGGTGGAGGCCGCACGCAGCAGGTCCCCGAAGCCCCGTGACGGGGCGGCGTCACAGAGCGGCACAGCGAGCTCTTCACTTGACGAGGGTCATGTGAGTGCCACCGATGTTCTGCGAGTTTTCGATGGTCTTCCTTCGGATGCCTTGAAGAGGGGTGCCGATGCACCTCTCCCAACTTCGAAATCTTATGCCACGGGAGCGTATGTTGCCAATGCCTCAGCCAATCCGGAGGCGCTCAAAGTCTTTGCAAGGTTTGTGAGACAGCGTGCACCGGGGTTTAAATTTTCTTCAATAAATATATTCGAGGATGTTCGCACTGAGCGTCATCGTGATCAGTGGAATGCCAACTTGCATAACTTGGCGATTGCACTAACTGAATTCTCAGGTGGAGCCATCTTTGTGGAGCATGAAAACGGACGGGATGTATCCGACCTTAATGGTGCCCGAGGCTCTCGCTTGCAGGTTGCAAAGGGCCCTGTCCGATTCAATGCCAGACACAATTGGCACTACACCGAGGCGTGGCAAGGCCGTAGAGTCTTGCTGGTTGCTTTCACAATCCGCCATGTCGAGTCCCTATGCAAGGAACATCTTGACTTTCTCCGCAAGTGTCATGTTGATGTTCCGGAATGCGCGCCCGAAGGCGCGCGGTTGGCGCCTGCAGTAGTGTGTGATCGTCAGCCGCCACCCTTGACCTCTACTGAACTGCAGCTCAGGAGTCGCTTAGGCCCTTGCCCGCCCCTTTTCACGTGCATTTCTTTCCTGCGACCAAGGATTGTTTTAAGGCTACTTTTAGCGCCGGGCAAACCATTCGCCTCGCCAAGCTCTTGCTCGCATCTGATTCGCATTGGAGTGTCTTGCATCCCCTGGCGTCAGCCCTGTGGAAACAGCTAGACTTGCCCGACAGCCTCCATTGCGTAGACTTCTGTGCAGGTTGCTACGGGGCTCCCTGTCCGGTAAAAATGCGCCTGTGCACAACCCAGGCCGCGTTGGCTGGCATGCCCGTGCCAGCGTGTCGTTGTCGCCCCGGGCCCCATGCTGCGGGCTCGCTTGCGCCAGATGTCTTGTACACACCCAAATTCTGTGATGTGTTTGCTGGCCTCCTGCAGCTGGCGGTTGGCCAGTCTGGCCTCTTACTTGAGCACGCTGTTCCACTGCAGAGTTCGCGACATTCTGCCGTCGCAGCCGCTGGGCGGCAGCCTCGATTGTCAAAATTCCAGCCGCAGATCGCCGAGTTTAAGTGCCAGGCCACGGTCCGTGAGTTCCCGTGGCCCCTTCCTTTGGATAATAAAGGCAATCTCACATGTGCCATAGGGTCCATCCCTCCTGGCTCCCGCCTTCTTCGCGTTGTGTGTGATCGGGGGGTCGTCGAACAGGTCGGAAGCCTGTCAGGTGTGCCTTCAGCAGTTACCTTTGGCATTTACCGCACGGAACACGAGTTTGTGGCTCAGGCATTGCATATCGATCATCCCTTCGACTTGTGCGTGGCAGTCCCAGACTTCATGTTGAGAGCGTTGGCTTTTACCTTGAAAGAGGGCCCGGTTGGTGTGATGAAACACCGCCTGAATTTGCTCCAGCAGTGGACTTCTTGGAAACGCGATTTGGCTGGTGCCGAAGCAAATCTGCATGCTGCCATGGATCCTGGTGTAGCCTCTGTTATGAAGGGCAAGAATATTTTGCTTTTGGAGAAGATTGCATCAACTTTCAGTTGGCCTGACACTGAAGTCTTCGAACACCTCAAGCATGGGTTTCCTTTAGTGGGGGAGTCGAGTCCTTCTGGCATTTTCGATGTGGATAGAAAACCGGCTCTGATGACAAGGGCAGAGCTTGTGCAGCATGCTAAATTCCTTAGGCCTGCGCTGTGGGCGAAGGTGGCGAACGCGGAGGTGGACGATTTAGCTCGGGAAGTGTGGGACTCCACACAGCAAGAGATGCTAGTCAAGGAGTGGCTGACAGGGCCTTACTCGTGGGACGAGCTGCAAGCCCGTCATCCAGAAGGCTGGCTTCCGGTGCGGAGGTTCGGCATTGTGCAAAAAGCCAAGACGCGGTCGATTGACGATTTGGCCGAGAACTCTGTAAACTGCGCTTATGCTGTTTCCGATCGGATTTCTTTGAGGGCCCTTGATGAATTGGTCTGGCTTGCGATCACCCTCTTCAAGATCTTCATTGCAAAAGGCGAGGTGAGCATCCCTTTGTCGGACGGTGACCATCTTCGCTTTCCGGTGCATTCTTTTTGGAGGGCCCTGAAGCCCGATGCGCTTCAGCCGAGCTTGAAAACAGTGGACTTGAAAAGTGCTTATAAACAGTTGGCGGCTTCTCCACGAGACCGCTGTCTGAGCATAGTGGCCATCAAGGACCCGGTTTCGGGGCTTGCGTTTGGCTTCGAGAGCCGAACCCTTCTGTTTGGAGCCACCTCGTCGGTGGTTTCATTCAATCGCGTTGCAAGACTGCTCCAAAGGGTTCTGATTGCGTTGCAGGTGCTCGCCTGCAACTACTTCGACGATTACCCGGTGTTAGAGGTCTTGCCGCTCTGTAACAACACGCAGTCGACTATCAAAGCCGCGTTGGACCTGCTGGGTTTCGCCTGGGCAGAAGATAAGGATCTTCCCTTCAGCCATGAGGCCGAACTTCTAGGCCAGGTTCTAGGCGTTCGGGTTGACCTTGGTAGCTTTGGGGTAGTTAAGATTGGGAATAAGCCCGAACGTGCTACTGCCATTGCTGAGGCGGTGGACTCCGTCTTGAGTGTGGGCCATCTTGATCCGAAGACTCTGCCGTCTTTGTTCGGTCGCCTCCAGTTTGCCGAGGGTCAGCTTCACGGGCGATTGGGCAGATTGGCACTGGCCGACCTTAGGGCGTGCACGATGAGTTCTCAGGCCAAAGCCCTTGATGCCACGGCTGCGCAGGCCCTTTGTAATCTTAGGTCCCGGGTTCTTGGGGGTACCCCTAGGATAGTCCCGGCCTGTGTGGGGTCTCGCCGCTCTGTGATTTTCACAGATGGAGCGTATGAGCCGACGAATGAAACTCACCCTGCCACTGTCGGAGGAGTCTTGTACCATTTCGACAACGGCGCGTGGTGCACTTTCTTCTTTGCATGTGCTATCCCTTTGAGCGTTGTACAGAGCTGGGAGGCTCTCGGGAAAAGGCATTTGATAGGCCCAGTTGAGATGTATGCAGTGGTATGTGCGAGAGAAGCGTGGTCGAAGCACTTGAACATGCAGAGGGTGACCATGTATGTGGATCACTCCGGGGTGTTGGCCTCTTTGGTGAAAGGCTCTTCAAAAGACCCTTTGTGGAGGCAACTCTTGCTGATCTTTGAGAGCTGCGACGCTGAGGCGATGCTCCCTTGGTTTAGCCGCGTTCCAAGTGCAAGCAACCCGGCCGATCCTCCTTCGAGAGCCAAGTCAATCTTTGTTCGTTTGTAACCTAGTGCACGTAGTCCCAAGTAGAGTGTGTAAAGTAATCACGAGAACACATGAAACATGTGTGTGAACCGCAACACGGAGGCTTAAGCAAGTCAGCCCGCGAAGTGAGAAAAGTGTGTTTGTGAGTAGAGTGGGAAGGAAGGCTTGAGAAGCCTTTAGTTTCAACATGGTAGCGGAGCTCCCTGATTCAGACCTCTTGGGAGCGATGAAGCTATCACAGGAACAACAGGTAGCTGTCGCCATGGTTTCCTTGGCTTTGGCTTTTTCGCTGATGTGTCTGGCGAGAAGCTTTGTGAAAGAACTTGTGAGAAAGGAGACGGTGGAGCGCGTAGCTCCAGCTGAGGAAGAAGTGCCAGAACTCTGTTACTCACCTTACGGAGAGAAGACCCACACCTCAGGAAGATGTCATGGCCTCAGGAACGCAACCAGCGTACACCGAGTACTACCATGCATGGACCATGCAAGTACTGCTGTCCCGGCGGACTTCGATCCCGGGAACAACGCACCTTCGAGTACAAGAGAACCTTTTTGGAAGCAGCAGGAAAGTACCTTTGGCTAAAAGTCTTCATGGTTGTGGTTCTCATGGGCATGTCATGGTTCATGGTTTTTGAAGTGAACGAGACCTACGGCTACCCGTTGGCCACGAACCGCATGCTGAACTACAGGAACAAGGTCCTCAGCCTCGACAACAAGAACCCCAAGAAGAAGCATGTGATAAAGGAGATTACCCCAGCGGATGTTGTACCTGCCGGGATGAGCCAAGAAGGTGATCACACAGAGCTTTTCACGTTGTGGTCGCATGTACATGAGCCCAATACCAAACCGAGAACGAGAACGAGATCAACGTCACGAGCTACCTCAAGAAGACGAACGCGTACTCCGAGTTCTACAAGAACAGAAGAAAAGGAACAAAGTTGCAACTACAGTTTTCATGATGGTGATGTCACGGAGTATAACGAGAACCTAAAGAACGAAGAAGTGCCCCACGTGAACTACTACAAGAACCTTGTGTTTGAGTTGGTTTTGGAGTTTCAAGAGTACCTTGCGAAAGCAGGAAGAAGCCTTGAGCCCGTCGTGAGCTACGTCGTGCGCACGTGTCACCCAGTACTACTTCTACTTGGGACCCCGCTCGGTATGGTCACTTGGATCTACCTCTATTTTTGGGTCAGAGTTAAGCAAACAAAAAGAGAACAGTTGAAGAAGAAGGTTTCGAGAAGGAAGTTGCACAGGTCAGTTTGCAGCATTCTTTTCAGGAAGCGAGTCTGGTTGCATGTTGTGTTGCTTTACAGTCACATGCAGAGTGCAGTTGCAATGGAGGAAGCCTTGCAAAGGCTTACGGACCTCACTGCCCAAAACACACAACAGATACAAGCACTTGCCCAGGCAATGAACAGTCAGCAAGCGCAGGCAGGTACAGCTTCACAACAACTACAGGAACTCGCGCAGTCAGTTTCACAACAGCAGAGAGCAGTTACAGAAGCAACCCAAGCAACCAACACAGCACTGTCACAACAAGCAGAGCTTACAGCAAACGCGGTTGCAGCAACAGGAAAGCTTACAGCAGACGCAGTCACAGCACTGTCGCAGCACGCAGAGTCAAGAAGGCCAGGAGAGATCGACCTCCACAAGATGATCAAATCTCCAGAAGTATTTGGCCCTACTACGTACAAAGAAGAACGTGATGGTTTTCTAGAGTTTCGATTGAAGCTGAGAAGTTGGATAGGCGCTCTCAATAACGACATCCTTGAGAAGATCAACGCAGTCGAGATGGACAGAAGAGAAGCATCATGGGAATGGAGCAAGCTTAACCCAGGTGAACAAGCACTCTCAAGAAAGCTACACTCCATTCTTACCAGCTACACACGTGGTCGTCCTCTACGAACTCTAAAGCAAGTACCCAACGAGAACGGTTTCGAAGCATGGAGGTTGTTGGTGGAGGAGCATCAACCTCACAATCGTGCACGTTCTCTACAACTACTTAACGGAGTTCTTCACTACAGGTTCGACAAGCAAAGGTCAACACAAGAAAATATCTTGAAGTTTGAGGAGCTGATTGAAGAGTACGAGAGAGCAAGTGGAGACCTTGTTGCGGATGATATGAAGATTTCTATCATTCTTGGAGGAACTGAAGGGAACATGAGACAACATCTTTTACTCAACCAGAAAGAGACCACAAGATATGGAACACTACGTCAGTACCTCCTCTCCTACGAGCAAGCAGCAAGGTGGACTACCACAGACCTCATCAACTCAGGAAAGGACCACCAAGGACAAGCAGACATGGATGTTACACGAGTTGAATGGTGGAAAGGCAAAGGAAAGGACAAAGGGAAAGGAAAGAAAGGAAAAGGATTCGGCAAGCACAAAGGAAAAGGCTACAGCAAAGGAAAAGGAAAAGGAGAAAGCCAGTACTACTACAAAGGCCGAGGAAAAGGAAAAGGACGAGGAAAAGGAAAAGGAAAAGGCAGAGGCCGAGGATATGGCAAAGGCGGGGGAAAAGGCTACAGCAGCAAAGGAAAAGGCAAAGGCTACAACAACCCAGGAGTTGCTGTTTGCCACTACTGCCAGAAGCCTGGACACTACGAAGCCAATTGTAGACTCAAGCAGAGAGACATGCAGCAGAATGTCAGGAACGCACAGGAGGATGACGAGCAAAGCGTCAGGACACAGCCGACTACAGTTCCAAGCAGTAGCGCTTCAGCAGCCACAACAAGAACTACAAGCGCGAAGTCTACAGCTAAGCCAACAGTCCGGCAGATCGCAATGTACCACATGGACGACGATCCCGTCACGTATCCTGAAGTTTTCGAACTTGATGAAGACGAAGAAGAGCTCGAGATTGAATACTTTGGAAGAGTTTTGAGAGTGAAGGAAGCTGAAGAGTTTGTTTTGTCAGAAGGAGAAGAGAGCGAAGAAGAACAAGAAGATCCTCTACTGAACTGGTACCTTGGACGTGAAGCACTACCGCCCCAAGAAGTTCTTTCAGTGCGCGTTGTAGAAGAAGAGTTTTTCCAGGAAAGTGATCTACACCAGAGAATCGAAGTTATCCTGGACTCTGGCGCAGACGTTTCTCTTGTGCCCTCTTGGCTAGGAAAGGAAGGAACCCCTTTGAAGGTTCGCCCTTCGTCCATTCAGGACGCACAAGGAAAGGCAATAAAGACGGAAGGCAGAAGGATGCTGAACTTAACGTTCTTCGATGACAACGGAAGCTTTTGTCGCATTCAGGAAGCCTTCACCGTTGCCTCGGTGATCAACCCGCTGATGGCCATAGGCAAGCTGTTTCGAGAAGGTTGGGAGTTGCGAGTTAACGAAGAAGAAGGTATGTGTCTTACAGATGGAAGCTCAAGAATACCAGTGCATCTCCACAAGAACAGCTTGGCAGCCTACGCCTACGTACAAACTCCTTCAAGAAGCAGAGGTTACAGCAGCAGCAACTACAAGATGGTTCGCACTGTTGTCCAACTCAACAAGCACGTTCAGGAAGCAGTGAACAAAGAAGAACCTGGTTGGCACAACACTGACAGCATGGTGATCGTGAAGTATGCTACTCAAAGCAGCTATGAGAACCCATCTCTCATGTATAGTCCTACACACTTTCCGTACAGAAGCACTTTGGTGAAAGAAGAGAGAGGATGGAGAGCAGTCGAAGTTTCGAGAAAGTACTCCGAGAAGGCAGACCCTTTTGAAGAGTTTGGTGAAGGAGAAAAGGAAGTGGTTACAGCTATTTCAGCAAAGCCAATTCCACTTTGGATTCTTGGCACTCCTTACGCAGCTGGAGATCGAGCAGACCAAGAAAGCCATGGTCGTGACTACTGGAAGATGGATCTTGAGAAGGGAGAAGTTGTTCGTCACCACGTAGTACCAAGAACTGTTTTGTTCGACCCGACAGGTGTTTCCAACTGTCCTGTCCTCCTTGGAGACCTCGAGAACAGCAGATATACCCAAGGAGACTGTATCTACAGTACAGAAATCTACGAACATAGCGACGACTGGAGAGCAGACCGCCTACCTCTACGTGAACACTTTCGGTTGCCGTGGTTTGGTCAAACAAGGTTTCGAGTTAAGCCAGGAGTTGTTGAAGACCTGAAGGCAGAAGCTGCAGCAGAGGAGCTCAAAAAGAAGAAAGAAGAGCACTACCAAGAGAAGGAAGACTCAGCAGCACCACCAGCAGCAGAAGAGAGCAAAGATGAGGAGATGAGAGAAGCACAAGCAGACCAAGAAGCACCACAAGAAGTTGTTGAAGTTTTGGAGGAAAGCTTCTACCACGAAGGCGTCGAGTACACAGCACAAAGAAGCAGCCTCAAAGAACTACAAGCACTTTGCAGAGAGTACGGAGTCAAGACCACAGGAAGCAAGAAGCAGCTCTTGAAGAGACTCGCCACAGCAGTCAGAGAAGAAAGGCTCAACACACAACACAAGGAGCAACGGGAACACCACCAAGCATACCACCTAGCACCACCACAGGAACCAACGGAAGAGGAGAGAGCGTACCACAACTTGACGCACCTTCCGTATCAGCCTTGGTGTCCCCATTGCGTTGCTATGAAAGCACGAGAAGACAACCACAAGAAAGGATTGAGCAAGCCAAGCAGCTCTACGGATTCCGCGAAGCCCGTCATCAGTTTTGACTTTTGCTATACAAGCACCACAGGAAGTGAAGAGCCACCTGCAGTGACTCTTGTCGCTGTGGACAGCTGGAGTAAGGCAGTCTTGGCAGTGCCCTGCAAGAGGAAAGGAGGAGCAGGAAGCACAACGCACCTCGCGGAAGCACTCGTGCAGTTTACCACGCAGCTCGGGTACAATGCCCTCGTTCTCAAAGCAGACAACGAGAACGCAGCCAAAGCACTTAAGGACAAAGTACAGAAGGTACGTAGCAGCCTTGGACTTTCTACAACACTACAGGAAAGCATTCCTTACGACCACGAAAGCAATGGAGCCGCAGAAAGAGCAATACAGACAGTACGGAGGCAAGCGAACACTATTCTCGATGAGCTCAGAGAAAGAACACAGCTAGGAATACCGCATGAGCACGCAGTAGTAAGCTGGGCGTTTCGACACGCCTGCTGGCTACTCAACAGATTCGCAGTCAGTAGCTCCACAGGAAGAACGCCACAGGAAGTTATCCACGGATACCCCTACTCAGGGAAGCTTGTACCCTTTGGTACTGTTGTGATGGCGAAGAGGTTGAAGATCAAAAGAAAAGGTGACAGGATATGGAACGCAGGAATATTCTTAGGCAAGACAGAGCAAGACACTTGGATCGTTGCACAGCCTGATGGTATACATATCACACGCAGCGTGAGACCACTACCAGAACAGTACGACTCCAAGAGAACAAGCAGCATAGAGGTCCATACCTGGAACCTCAACACACCACTTCTTGGAGCAAGAGTACTTCCAGAGAAGAAGCAAAGACAACGACCGCAGCTAAGCATCCTGCCCCCTGTTGCCGAGGAAGAACGTGAACAGCTCGAGAACGACGAGGCCGCGAGCGACCCTCCGAGTTCGGAGGATAGCAGTGAAGAGCAACAGCAAGCACTTGAAGACAGAGAGGAACAAAGCGAAGGCAGCAGCATGAGTGTGACGAGAGACAGAAAGAGAAGAGCTGAGGTTGATGATGACACCCTTTTGGAGGAACTCAGAGCAGGTGAACCACTCACAGCCTCAGCAGAAGCACTTGCAGCACCAGCTGAACCAAGAGCAGAAGCAAGCAAGCACAGTCTTGAGCCTGAGGAACCAAGCTCACCCAGCAAGCTAAGAAAGCAGGTCAACAGAGCAGAGGAAACAGACGGTTACCTCAACATGCCTCACGATGATGAAGTCTACGAAGCAGATGATGAGTTTTTGTATGAGTCGGAAGAAGAAGAAGAGGAGACAGAGAGTGAACCAACGGAAGTTTTTACCAAGGTCCCCGTCGAGTTCTTCGACGAGGAGAAAGGACCACCGAATGTGGATCCAGATTTTCTTCAGAAGTTGGATGATGAAGCTACAGTCAAAGAAATCAAGAGGTTAACAAAGATGGGAGTTATTTCTTTGGTTTCTACGGACCCTCAAGAAGCAACTGAGAACGTACCTCTGGTAGACTCAGAACAAGAACTTCACAAGTGGTTGACAACGAAGTTGGTGAAAGACTGGAGGTTCAGAGAAGCTACAGGTTTTGAAGTTGACGAAGCCACAGCAGGAGCAACAAAGCCCAAGCAGATTCAAAGATGCTGGCAGCGACGAGCCAGGCTAGTAGCAAGAGAGTACAAGACAGAAGGAAAAAGAGAAGATATATTTTCTCCTGCGACAAGCCCAGGAATTACGAAACTGGTACCCATGTTGGCTCTCGCCAACAATTGGGCGATCTACAGTGTCGACGTGAAGGACGCGTTTCTACAAGTCCCTCAAAGAACACCTTGTTTGTGTCGAGTACCTGAAGAAGCAGCTCACGTCGTACAAGCAATGCAAGAACAACAAGAACGCAACCCTGGAACTTGGTGTTGGAAGCTAGGAAGAGTCTTACCAGGTCAACGCGACGCATCCAGTCTTTGGTCAGACTTTTGTGATGGTCTCTTAGTGGAAGAGAAGTTTGAGCGTTGCACAGCAGTTCCAGCACTTTACCGTCTTCTACGACAAGGAAAAGTGGTTGCAGTTTGCATTGTGCATGTAGACGACTTGCAGTTTGCAGGCAAGAAGGAAGTCATCGAACCGATCCTCAAGAACCTCAAGAAGAAAGTGAACTTACAAGTTGAAGGACCTCTTCTGAACGAAGAAGATTACGAGAAAGGATTTTCTGAAGAGACCGTGAAGTTTCTCAAAAGGAAATACACGTACGAACATCATGAACTACGAGTACATAGCGATAGCAAGTACGTGAAGAAACTCGTGGAGATTCTCAAGCTGGAAAAGAAGAAGGCCAAGAACTCTCCTTGTACACCAGCCAGTCAAGAACCTGACGTATCCCAAGAACTGGACGAGGAACACTCGAGAACTTACAGGAGTTGTGTTGGCATTTTGCTGTACGTGGCACACGACCGTCCGGACATCCAGTTCGCAGTACGCAGCCTAAGTACTGCCATGACAAAACCGACAGAACGCAAAAGAAAGGAACTGGAGCACTTGGCGCTCTACCTCAAAGGAACGTCAGACTACGCCGTTACGTACCGCAGGAACAGCCCAGGAACGTCAGCTCTACGTCATCGCGCAGAAGAACCACATGAACCACAAGAACCTCAAGAACAACAACGCGAACGTTTACTCGAAGTTTTTAGCGACTCCGACTGGGCCGGAGACAAGCAGACGAGGAAGTCAGTGAGTTGCGCCATGTTCTACCTGGACGGTGCATATTTCTATAGCTACAGCAGAACACAGAAGTCAATAGCATTGTCTTCAGCAGAAGCAGAATACATGGCACTTACAGGAGCAGCAAGCGAAGGAATAGGTTTGCACGCAGCAGTTCGTTTCCTTACAGGAGAACGAGTACTACTCAAAGCATACACGGACAGTTCCGCATGCCGCGGAATCACAAACCGCCAAGGAACAGGAAGAGTCAAGCACTTGCAGATTCGTTTACTTTGGTTACAAGCAGCAATACGAGAAGGCAAGCTTACAGTACATGCAGTTGGTACAAAGGAAAACACAGCAGACCTAGGAACAAAGCCTCTCAGCACGAAAAGAGTGAAGTTTCTCCTGAACATGATCGGCATGTGCAACAGTGAAGGAAGAGTTGGAGAGCAAGAGCGAGAAGAAGAAGAAAAAGCACAAGTGGTGAGAAGACTCGAGAAGATCATGAAGAACAAGAGCAGCATGTTGTTTGCACTTTCGAGTTTGTTTGCAAAGACTGAGGCAGCTTACGTACAACACGTACCTTTCGCCGCAGCTCAAGAAGTAGCAAGCTCAAAAGAAGTCCCAAGCAGTTCTGGAAGCATGTCGCTTCTGGAAGTCCTGGTGACGCTCGCCATGGTGTGCATGGCGGCATACTTTGTCGTCAACGAGATGAGAAAGCCGCAGAAGCACAAGAAGTCTAAGAAAGAGGAGAGAAGCAGCAGTGAAGAAGAAGAAAGCAGCAGCTCAGAAAGCAGACGAAGAACCGAAGACAAAAGAAGGAGGAAGAAAGCAGAGAGAGAAGTGAGGACTGAAGCTCCTGCCGCTCAGGTGAACTACGACGTGGACTCCTTCGACGAGGCAAAGAAAGAAGTGACAGAGAAGGCAGAGAAGTTGAAGAAAGTTGAGGAAAGCCTGGAGAAGGAAAAGGAGGAGTTCGGAAACCAGAAGGCAGAGTTTGAGGAAACAGTGAAAAGGTTTTTGAAGAAGCAGAAGGAGGTGAAGGACAAGGAAGACAAAGTTACAGAGAGAGAAGAGAAGTTAGAGAAAGACCAAGAAACCCTCCAAGAGCAAGCCAAGGCCCTAAGCGAGAAGGAGACAGCCCTTGAAGAAGCTGAGGAGAACGTCAAAGCAAAGGAAGCAGAGGTTGAGAAGAAGAACAAAGAGGCAGAGAAAAGAGAGAGAAAAGCTCAGGAAAGAACCGTCGGCTACGACCAAGAGAGAGAAGAGTACGCCAAGAAGTACGTGGACGACGTAAAGAAGGACTTGGAGAGAGAGCTTAAAGTGCTAAAGCAAGAAGAGAAAGTAAGGAACCAAAAGCTCGACGACCTCCAGTACGACTACAAGAGCCTCAAGGACGACTACCAGTACTTCAAAACTTACTCGCAGGAAGTGGACGCACTTCTACTTGCAGCCAAGGACAGGATCGTGAAGTACAAGAAGAAGGTCAAAAGCCTCAAAGAAACCATAGGTGCAGTCTTGTCTGGAAGTGAAGGTGAAGAAGAGACAGACGAAGCGTACAAGACCAAAGCAGAGGAAGAGAAAGAGAAAGCAGAGGCTAAGGCAAAAGAAGAAGAGAAGAAGAAAGGAAAGAAGCCAAAGCAGGTAGAGACAGAAGACCCAGAAGAGAAGCCCTCAAGCAACCAAGGAGACGAGAACACCTTCGACCCGAACGACATAGCCGAGTTCACGCAGCTTGGTTACGTGTGGGAGTTCAACAAGAAGACGCAAGAGTACCGCGCGAAGAGCGAAGACAAGAAAGGAAGCACAAGAATCAAGAACGCTCCGGTGAAAGGCCGCCTCCTTTGGAACAAGGTGACAGAGTGCTACAGAAGGCACAACGTTTGGTTTACAGACGGAAAGGAATTGGATAAATTCCTCGAGACCAAGGAGAACGAGAAGATCGAGGAAGAGGTGCAGCGACGCATCCACGCGAAGGGCAAGTACGACAACCAAGGAATGAAGGGAAAAGGCCCTTCCTGGGACGACGGACAGAACGACAGTTGGTGGTACAACGAGCAGTGGAACAACGAGAACTGGAACACCACCGACGACGGCAGCAACTGGTACGAGAACGCGAACCCACAGAACAAAGGCTACTGGCAGACGCCAGAAGAGTGGGCGCAGCAGAACCAGTGGGAGCAGTGGACACCCAAAGGAAAGAGCAAAGGCAAGAAGTCCAAGAACTGGGTACAGACCCAGTGAAAGGATCCCGAGAAGGGATGATCGAGAAGGTCAAGCAGTGAACGCTTGTACATATGTACATAGCTAGGCAACGTAAGACTTGATGTATACTAGCACAAGAATTCATGTACAAAGTGTGAGCAAATGTATAGACGTAGCAAACTGGGGCAGTAAGCCTAGGTAAGCTACAACCTTCCAAAGTCTCACAAGAAGTTTCACACGAGGCAGGTTAGGAAGGTACAAGGGCCAGAAGAGGCAAGAAGCCGGAGAAGCCAAGAACAAAGAAAAGAAGCCCGAAAGAAGAAAAGCCCGTAGGCTACGTAAGGGCAGAAGGAAACCGGGGTACGGGCCTCCCCGCAAAGAGTCCATAGGCTGGACCTAACTAGAACGTAGCTGTACATACAGAGTAGGTTTATCAGGAAGGCCAATGTACAGACATAGAAGGCCTAAGTAGCAACAGGGCAGGAGTGCAGCTAGGTAAAAGACCAGGAAGAACGGAGACGAAAGTCCCTAGCAAAAGCACTGTACAGAAAGCCCTAGCAGTTTCCAAGAACACCCTAGGAACCCGCAAGAACTTTCTGAGGCGGGGTGTTCGTTTGTAACCTAGTGCACGTAGTCCCAAGTAGAGTGTGTAAAGTAATCACGAGAACACATGAAACATGTGTGTGAACCGCAACACGGAGGCTTAAGCAAGTCAGCCCGCGAAGTGAGAAAAGTGTGTTTGTGAGTAGAGTGGGAAGGAAGGCTTGAGAAGCCTTTAGTTTCAACAATCTTTCCAGTCAGGGGGCAGGTGTGCAGAGTGTCGCCTCGATGCCCGATCAAAGGCAATGCCACGATTGATCTCCTTCTTAAGTGAATGGGGTGTTCGTTGGCGATCCTCGTGTTCGCCATCGATCGGTGCGGGGATGTCACGACTTCCCCCTTCGGCTTTGCCGGAAGGAAAAAGCGCCGCGTCTGCTTGAGCAATTTTCTTATTCTTTATATACTTTGATTTTCCCATATAGTTTGGGAATACTGTGATTGGAATCTTCCTTTTGAAATAAAGCAAAGCTCCGTGGAAAATAAGCGACACATGAGGCTTGCCTCTACTAGCTTTATTTTCCTAGGAGAGTTTTGAAAATTACTGCGAAGTTTTCAAAACGCCTTTGCTTTATTTTGAACCACATTTCATGGCATGAATGCATGCTTTGAATCGTCTGAGTTCATCTCTTTTATTTCCCGCGCCGCCTCGAGACAGGGGTGGCATGGGTGGGTAGCTGGTCCCTGGCCAAAGGGCCGGAAATTTTTGTCCCTCCCTCCACTCCCGGGGTGTTCGTTGGCGATCCTCGTGTTCGCCATCGATCGGTGCGGGGATGTCACGACTTCCCCCTTCGGCTTTGCCGGAAGGAAAAAGCGCCGCATCTGCTTGAGCAATTTTCTTATATTCTTTATATACTTTGATTTTCCCATATAGTTTGGGAATACTGTGATTGGAATCTTCCTTTTGAAATAAAGCAAAGCTCCGTGGAAAATAATACTAATCAAAAAAAACAATATAAATATGGTTTTATGCCAGCGCGCGCGCGATCGTGGCGCCTCGTGGCGCGCCCGCGCGCCCACAAATTTACTAAGAGTGCGCGCGCGCGGTCGTGGCGCATCGTGGCGCGTGCGCGCACTTTCAACGTACAATTATATAAATTTCATAGGTCGACGATCAGATCGATGTTTTTAATAAAAATATACACACACGCACATATGTACCATCGATCTGACTGTCGACTATGAATTACATATATTGTACGTTGAAAGTGCGCGCGCGCGCCACGATGCGCCACGACCGCGCGCGCGCACTCTTATATATAACATCAACATATACATATACTCATATACATACACATATACATATATACATATACATATATACATATCCGTATATACATATATACATATACATATATACATATACGTATATACACATATACATCTACATATACACATACACATATACATATACATCTACATATACATATACATGTTTGTTGGGTGTGTGTAATTTTGTTTACTTTAGTATTTTACGTTACATTTATCGAAGAAACTATAGCATCTATATATTTTGCTATAGTCCGTTGTGGTCATCTCATGTATGCGTAT